ATAAAGGTTAAGAAATTAATAAAGGAAAAAGAATAATTCAAAGGAAGTAAAAAAAGAAAAAACTCACCAGCATTTCGGGAGTTAAACCAACGGCAACAGCGGTAGCAAATATCACAGCAGCAGTCCAGTCTTTATTACGAAATCCTTGTAATAATAAAACTGGGGGCATCATTGCTAACATAATTCCAATAAACATGAAGCTAATTCGACGAATGCTAGTTTGATAAGCATTAGTCGGTCGCTTACTAGCGAGGGATTTTGCCATAACACCAAAGAAAGTATTTGAACCAGTCTTGAGAACAATAGCAGTAGCAGTTCCACTTACAACCGAAGTTCCCATGAAACAAAAATCAGGACGTTCAAGTTCAGTTTTATCCATTTTAATATTTTCACCAGGTTCAGGTATTACGGGAGGTTGTTGTTGATCGACTTTGAATTTTTCAACAGGAATGGATTCACCTGTTAATGCGGCTTGAGAAATGAAAAGATCTTTTGACGAAATTATTTGCACGTCACCGGGAACCAAATCGCCGGCAGAAAGCTTGATCCAATCACCAGGAACTACATCGTCTAGTGGAATTTCTTCTTCTTTTGTTTCTTTACGATCCATTTTTTCTAAATCTTCAAAAGTTGGATCACTAATGTTAATCAATTTAATCAATTGAAAATAAATAAAAAAAAAAATAAAAAAATAAATAAATAAATAAATTAAAATAAAATAAACAGTTTAACAATAATGATAATAAGAATTGAAATCGTTACCGATGATCAGGTGGAGAATAAAGACGAATAACAGCAGCACGGTTGCTAACCATGTTCTTGAGACCCTGGGCCGCAATTTCGCTCTTGTACTCTTGAATGAAACGGATTCCGACAGATAATATAACCATGAATAATAAAACTGTTAATGTACGAAAATCCTGAATAGCACCGGCAAAAATCGCGAGACAAATCAAGATGAGATTAAAAGGGTGAAGAGTCGAGTTGTAAAGCACCGTATACCTAAAAGAAACATGAAATTGATCAACATCTATAAACATTCAAAAACTTGAATTAATCGAGAAATAACATGATAAAATACCATCGTAAAGGTTGATACGCTGCAATAACATTCTTGCCGTAAGTTATTAATCTTTTCTCGGCCTCATAATCAGTAAGAGGTTTGAAATCATCATTTAAATTGATTCCAGGTTTCTGAATAGGTTGTGAGGCGGTAGCACCCTTGGTATTATTATCATCAACGACGATGATAGTAGTAATCTCATCGGAAGAAGAGTCTATATTACTTTTGACGGAATTAGCCATCATTAAGGAGGTTCAAATATTGTTATTCTAGTCAATCCAATAAACTTTAAATAAGATAGAGGGCCTTGTAGTCAACCTGAGAGCATATCCGTAAGGAAAAAAAGATAAAAATCAAATGTTTATATAAAGCTAATCAAATATCTAACGTCAAGAAGAGAATTTTGATGAATTTATATATATTTTTTATGTTATTTATTTTATATTGTGGTGGCTGAATAGTGTTAGTGATACAAGTTTACCATGTTTACTTGTAAACTGTAAACTGCCAAGAGTATCTTGATAAATGTTATGCCCAAATTTGGGGCTAATTATCATTTTGGTTACTAAAATGAATGAATAGTAGTTACTTCTGTCGAAAATTAAAAATATTTTTACAAGAGTACAATGGATTATAATTGTTTTTGATATGTGATTTGTTATCTAACATACTTATAAAGTAGTTTACCAGTTATCTTTCATGTAGCTTTTTTTTTTCGTTGTCTTAGGATTTAAGAAATTGAATATTTTCATCATCAATCTAACTCACCAAGGCGTTTTCCGGTCGTCTCCTTGTCGATCGATCACACTTCGAGCTTTGTGCGGCGCAAAATGTAAACACATTTAAGTTCACGTTCACAAGGACGCCATACCAAATAGAGGGCGTATGTATGTACTCACAATGTACTCATATCTAACAATTCCCATGTATAGAACCTGCGGTCCTTATATGATAAGACTTGATTGAACCTTAACATTATTTGGTTCAAAGAAATGTCAGTCTTAAAAGAACATCGGTCTTAAAAGAGCTGGTTTAAGGAAAGTCGATGTATTCTTTAACTCTTTAATCTAGCTTCTGCATCAAAGTTTTTTTTTTTTTGTGCAGATTATTTCTTTGATAATATCGATTTTCAATAATGAAGAACTATGAAAAACTGCAGTACAAACAATTACAAACATTCGTGATTCAAACATAAAAAGAAAATTTTGAGAACAAATCAATTTTTTTTTTTTTCAAGGGATCGTCAGCATACCTATACCGACATGGTAAATGTTTACCAGTTAGAATTGTTTTACCCCTAAAAAAAAAAAAAAAAAAAAAAAATGGGCTGTTTTTATCGAAAGGATTGAAAGAATTGGTAAAATCATTCTTATATTACCGCTAAATTCCATTAATGCCATGTTAGGTAATATCGATATCATAATTTCGGGGTTTTGGGCTAATGAATGGATTATTTTTTATCATTGGTTAATTAAAAACTTGTAACTAAAGGAAAGTACCGATATTGATTCAATTTTCATTGATATAAATTTTTAGTTTTTTATTTTTTATTATTAATTAATCATTATTTTTTTTTTATTATCTTGTTGAAGATAAGAGACGTGGTTTACCTGCCGCGCCAATATTGTATAAACATCCGTTTATACATATATAGTTTTCTATTTTTTTTTTATTGGTTAAACATGCTAACAATGCCCACAACTACCATTGAGAAAATAAAGTCTATATAATATGTATATACAAAGTTATTTGACATAAAAAACAATAAGTAATTATGCAAAGAATTTCCAAAACGAATTAAAACTTCATCCCCCTTAAAAGAAATTAATAAAATTAATAAACAAAATTCCCCCTAGAATCAAAACTTTCCGCAATAGAGGCTTCATAACTAGGTGGATCATAACTTCTTCCAGGCACATTTAGAAAATGCTTGTGATTATGTTCACTAAGTTTACATTTACTTTCTAATCGGCATCCAATATCTTCACCTAGTACCAACCTTGCCATTCTCATATATTCTGGATCGCAAGGACAATAATAACTATCATCTTCGTAACTTGGTAATATTACATAGTCATCTACAGCTCTACAGGATAATATAGTTATTGGTAAACTAATCTTAAGTTCAGCTTTTTTAGGTGGATCTTGAGGTAAAGATAAATTAAAAGCGAATTTTAAATCATGAGCAATACTAATTAATGGAGTATTGCAAGAATAATGAAGTGGAGCAGCACATCTTGGTAAATCTAAATTCAGGGTTTGTTGATAAACAACATTTCCCACGTCACCTTCTTCATGATCTTCGATTAAACGATTTTCACCAAATTTATTCAAAACTTGAGTTGATCCAATTCGAACATCGGTAATCTTTGGCTTTAATGGAGAGGTACAAGTTGTTTTTTCTACTAAATCAACTTTTACACCTTTTACTTGAAGTTTTTTTATGTAAGGGCAAATTTTCATATCGATTGGAATTGATTGTCCTAATGGGTAGGCTTTTTTTGGAATTGAAATTTCGTATGATAACATATCATTAAATTCTCTAGCTACAGCTATTCCTTGTGAATTTATATGATCAGGAATAGTACGTAAAATTTCAATTGGTTGATGTAATCGTAATTTTGGTAAGAATTTTGACCTTGAAGCTTTTGCATATAATGCGTATGAGATGGTTCCTAAATCAGTATTTATGGTTTCTGGAAGATTTCCTGGAAGAAACTTTTCGAATGCAAATGTATGAATGCCAGCGGGTAACTTTGTTGTTGTACTTTTTCGAAATGGATTTCTTAGAAATTTATTTCGTTTTTGATCTTGTTCTTCTTGTGGAATTATAAATTTCCATTTATGAGAAATAATTTCACTTTTGAATTTTTTTCGGTCTAAATATATAAATAAGAATATATTTAATATATTTAATATATTTAGATTTTATTATTCAATTAATTTAATCAATTTAATCAATTTAATTAATAAAGAATTTATTAAATAATTTTTAGATTAAAAATTTATTAATGTTATTTACCTTGATTATATGCAGCTTCAGCTGTTCCAACAAAATTCATTTCCAATTTTCGAATTCTTGTAGGTTTAGATAAATATAAAATCAGATCACCTCTTAAGATACAACCTACGGATTCTTCAGGTTTGCTAAAAAATATAACTGGTTCAACCAATTTTATTTCTAAGCAAGTATTTGTCACTTCATCATTTTCAATAATAAAATTTGAAAGCCCCGCTGATGTATGAGAAAATGCATCAGTAGTAATGTTTACGAACGATGATGTTGATGATTCTTGGGAGATTTGAGATATTTGGGCTGCAGGTAAATTTGTGAACGAAGGGGTTTGAATATTTACGGATGGTGTTGATGATATCATCTCTAACTTATTTTTATTTTTAAATATATAGTATAGTAAACTTTTTTAAGAAATTTTTTAGAGGTATAAAATTTCGTCCAGCGAAATTAAAGAATCAACCCACCGCTATTTTTATGTAGTTTTCCCTCGTTAATTATAATTTCTAAATGGTGAAAGGTATTTATAAATTTAATGATGATTTCAATGAACATTCGTACTTGGGTACAGAAAATCTTTCATTGCAATAAACAAACTAGATACAATAACTCTGTATGCATATGCATGTATATTGTCATCCGACTTTTTCATATACTAAAAAGGAGATACCTCTGCATATTAATACATCTCGGTGTTCCAATGTTCAAATATGTATAGTTTTACTAGGCTAGGCTTGTTACGCTTGTTACAGATACTGGATACGTTCTTGTTACAGTCACACTAGACTTGATTATACTTTTACAGAGATTTTTTAAAGTTTGCAGCATTTACGGGGTTTGTGCATTTAGAAATTGCATTTAGAAATTGCATTTAGAAATTATTTAGAAATTGAGTCACATGAATCAACATCAGACTAACCAATTAAGTCAACAAAACTATCTTTACTAGGATTTGTTTGTATATGTTAAAAAAATTAATAATAGAACTTTTTATTTTAAATAAATAAATAGAAATAAATAAATATATAGAATTAAATAGAATAAGGGGATTAATTGTATAATAATTAATAGTTCGATTTAATGTATTGTATATACTAAATTGTGTGATTATTTTCTATTTCGGTTTTTGTAAGATTTTCAATTTTTTGACGAGATCATTTCACGGATATTCTAAAAGAGATCCGAACTTGGAAACTTATTTACCGTAATTTTTTTGTCCGATTTTATATTAATAAAAAACATTTTTAGAAATTCATATATTAATTAATAAAAGGTTGACCCGAACATAGCCGTCCTTAAACTTTAATTTGTTATGACGAAGAATTTGGGTTTAAATGACGGATTTACATAATGGGAACAGTTGACGTATTTATTTTTTCGCGTGTTATTGTCGAAAATAATAGTATAAAATTTTTACTTTATGTTTCTTGAAAGTTAAAAATAGCATCTATATATATATATTTATATTTATATCTTTATATTTATATATTTATAAAATTATCTCAAAACATTAATCTTTACAATTAAATTTTTGCTTTAAAATGCATAAAGATATAAACTATGAAAGTTTAGATGCAATATCAAAATTAATATACCGACACGTATTTAATTTCTTCTTTTTTTTTTTTTGAATTAACATTAATCAACAAAGCCATCACATAAATTAGACATATAGTCTAACCTTAATATAGGCATTCTTTGATAATTTATTCTTGACATACGTACAGTATGTATATGCACAGTTACCAACTTAGTGATTATATTGAGGTTAAACTGCTTAATACTCTTAATACTGTAATAAATTTCCTAATATATATATGCGACTAAAGTTTTGGATCACACAATGTCATTTTCTTTAGTGGAGTGACGTAGTGTTTTGAGGGAAGAAGGAGTTAGCAATCTACCTTGTCTACTTATTTGTCTATATATAATAATAAATCTTATGATTGGATCACCTGGTGAGGAGGTTAGAAGAAGGGTCTTCTAGTAAAAAGAAATTACGTAATAAACAGCACATCCCTTAATTCTTTAATGCTAGATTAGCGGTTATCAATGGATATTCGTCATTGATTGATGTCTTATGGTCTCGATATAGCTATTTATAATAATTATTTATAATAATTATTTATTTATAATAATTATTTATAATAGCTACGTATTACATTTTCTACTTTAGCCACTTTCAGCTTCGGCCCTCACAATAATAAATATCCTGATTACAGAATCAGTCAAGAATATCATTTTCTTGATGAGATTTACCCCCAGGCATTATTGATTAAATATCCGGTTTAATAGATAAAGATTTTGTTCTTTTTTTAGATTTCTAGTTTATTTTAACTTCTTTTAGTTCTAAATCTAGTAGCGCCCTCCCTGCATCATTATATTAAATTTTGTTATGCTATTATTTTCCGGTACTTAGTGATAATGAGCAAGTATATTTGTCTATAAACGTAACAAAGAACATTCAATGAAAATTACATTTTGATTCACTTCATAATAAATAGTTAATTTAATTAACTTTGAAAATTCCTGTTTGCATCTATGTCTGTAATAAAAGTACACCCGCGCATTTGTCCAATATAGTAATAATTATAATGATAGGCTCCAGATACGGTTCTAGGCATTAATCTAGAGCTAGTAATACGTATATACTATACACATATATATGTCTATAATATAAAGATTTCTTGATTCTTCACATATATAAGTATTATAAAATCATTGATTACAAATAATAAAAATGAATCAAGTATTTCTTAACACAAATTATTATTCTCAACATAAAT